GAAGTTCGATATAACGCCGAAGTAAATATAGACAATAAATGACACGCTCCCCAAGAGTAGATTTAAAGGTGCGGTGTGAAACTTTTCTAGGGGAGGATCCATCAAACGCTTTTCTCTGTGGAAATGTTATTGCTTTGTCTTTGTCAGTATAGTACTAAACCTTTTTATCTTCATGGAGATCAAACCAGACAAAGTTACAGGTCAGATCTGTTTAGAGGTGACCCCGCTCACAGCCAGAATGCCTGTTTTTGGGGGATTTTTGAGCTGTAAAACCACTTGTAATCAGGGGTGTAGTGGGTGTGGTACGCGAGGGGTATGGTGTCCACCCACTTCTCCCGACATGAGATTAAAAAAAACAACAACAAATATAAAATAGTCTACAACTTAAATGTCAAACTTAAATGTTAAATTGGCAATAGTAAAAAAAAATGTGCATAGGGTTATGATATCTGCAGTACTGTCCTATAGTGACCTGCAACATGAGAGGAACAGGACTGATCAGGACTGAACCAGGACTAAACCAGGACTAAACCAGGACTAAGACAGGTCTAAACCAGTACTAAACCAGAACTGAACCAGGACTGAGTGTCGGGACAGGCCCGGAAGTGCGACCTCATAGACTGTCAGGTGACTGTAGGAGAAAGGACCGGTAGAAATCCATTCCCCACGGGGTGAAGCGCAGCTGTCGCCTGAACATGCTTTGTGGACACCCTGCTCCCTGGGCTTGGGCTTTTCCCTCTCTCTCTCAAGTCCAACATTAGTTCTGGTTTAGTGCTGGTTTAGTCCTGTGTAGTCGCGGTTTAGTTCTGGTTTAGTCCTCCTGGTTCAGTGCTGGGCACATTTGTTGCCTATGATTTATGTTCTGTATGTGTTTATGAATGGCAAAAATGTTAATAACATGATTCAGCATAATTTTGAGGAAAAATGGCCTGGGCACTACCTGTAATTGAATAAATGTATGGTAAAGCTGTTTAATTCCAGGCAGAACAATGACATATCCATAAAGACAAGCAGGTGATGAACCCCGAACCAAAACGTCACCTGTGTTAATAATCATGAGCTGCAATAAGTAAATAACAGAATGAAACACATTAATACTTAATTTGCGTCCATAATGAGTCATAGAAGTTACTAATTCAACCTGTTTCAAGTTCAGGTCTTTCAACGAGTGCAGCAAGTTACTGGAAATCTTCTACCAGTCTGTTGCTATCCTTTTTGCTACTTATTTAGAATTTATTGTTACCATTTATATTTTTTCTCTTTCTTATTATAATATATTGTGATGTCTGAGCTACTGTGTCCATATAATTTCCCTTGTGGATCAGTAAAGTTTGTCTTAGTTTAAGTTTTGCTGCTTAATTCTTATCTTAAAGCCAAATAAATAACCAAAAATATCTCCACAGTGTAAAGAAAATGTACAGACAGTAAATACTGACCCTAAAAAATATTGTTCTAGCTTTCATATATTTAACGATAAGTTGATATAGTAATTATCGAGGCAGGACTATCTGATAATGGCTCTGCTTTCACTACAAGGCCTGTTCTCGGGCTGCTTCTCTGCTTCATTTGGAGATTTCAGGGGTGTGTAATTAGCCTTGGGTGAATGGAAAACTGTTACTGTTCGCGTTTCCTTGGTAGAAATGAGTCCTTATCTTGTTCTGGACCACAGAGGATGCGTTAAGCAGGACTATCGAGATTTTCAAGGCAGTTAGATCAGCTTGTTCTTCTTGTTTTGGTGGTAAATGTTGGATTTTAAACTTGTGCATGCCGGTTTTTGGGTGCTTAAAAAAGTCATTCTTAGCTTTTTGTTGAAAATAAAACTTTTCAAAAAGGCCGATGAACACTCGTATTGATCACAGACAACTAAAAATATTACATCTAAATCCGTTTTGTATTTTCTTGAGTGTTCATACTATCTTAAAACTGTTTTGTCTTTTTTTGCTAATGTGTGCACTGTCTCCCCATGGTAACTGCTCAACATTACACCAATAGAGATGTATGTAGAACACCGTAAAGTATCAGTATTAAGTTTGATATTGTTACCCAGAACTCACCCAGAGTGTTGGCTACATTTCAAACCTGTTTTATTGTTTGTGGCTTCGTCCTCCTACGTCATCAGAAACTATTAACCAGTAACTCATTCAGACTTATTAATCAATTATTATCTATAAAATCTATTAAATGTAAGATAAAGGTGCTCTTTATTGTCCCAATAGGGAAATGAGTCCTCTGCATTTGACCCATTCTCAATGCGACCAGGGCAACCTATCAGGAACAGTGGGTGCCAAAGTGCAGCACCCGGTGACCCATCTCTGTGGTTTTGTTGTTAGGCGTGTATTATTATAGCTGGAGAATGTTTCACCTTTGTTTAATGTTTTGGGTTGATACGACAGTTCGTGTTGTCATGACATTGAAAAGTCAAACTTAATTTTGACACTAAGGAGATGGTTTGTTGATACCAATTTTCTCTTGTGGCCTTATGTGATTCTGACATAGGTAACGATCATAGAATTTAGAAAGTCAAAATTAGTCCTATTTATGTATGGTATTTTTTAAGAATAGACTTCTCTAATAAATATCTAGTGTTTAGTTTTAGTATCACTTAGTATCTGTATTGAGTATTTTGAATATTTTTTACAACCCTATTTACAATTAGGGGTGTGCAAAAATATTGAAACATTAATATATATCGTATCACCTAATGTGATGAAACAATATTGATATCGTTGGCTGCTGTATTGATATATCACCAAGAGCATTTTTTGGTATATTTTACAAGATTATTTTGTTTCACTGCTACAGTTTTGTTGTTTGTTTAGAGGAAGAAAACTCATTTATACAACACATTTGAAATTTTCACTGTTTTGATGAATAAAATGGGCGTGTTTCATATACATTTTGCACAAGTGATTTAACAAAGACTTTTAGTATCACAACCATGATTTATCCATTATTTTTATTGAACCATATTGAATTGATTTCAAATACATCACACTGAATCGAAAGTGCACTGTATTGAGGTATGTATTGCATTGGCCACTTCTTAATGATACCCAGTCCTACTTACAATACAGAAACATACAGTAATTATGTTTGATCCACACAGGTGAAATTGTTCAACATCTCTTTAAACTTCCCTCTTTTTATCTGACCTACTCTGACTATACTCTCAACCATTAAACCAACCTTGAATGAAACATAATACATCTTCCTGTCATCTGATCATTTCATTTAATATTTCCACATCACTGAATATTCCCAGCAACAACAGCACTGTCTCTGAGGAGGACCTTGATGAGTTTTCTTTCACAGTGGAAGCCCTGACGTACAAACCTGCTGCTGACAGTTCCGTCCACTGTATATTGTAATTGCACGTTTACACCTCGGCTGGGCCTCAGAGGCGCCCTCCCTGTCAATTACCAGCCAGTCGGAGGAAGGCAGGAGATTACGAATAATTGGCAATTGTGGCTGGACCTGGGTGTCTCCTCATGAGTCAAAGCTCTCAGACATGGGGTGATTAGTGGATTTGCCAATGCAAGTCAACAACTGCTATGTTGCTCAACCACATACCTTCCATGTATTTGACAGCAGGCAATATGATTAACTATTGTGAGCTAATCCCTGCAAAGAGGTAATGATTTTTTGTTACGGGTGAAGTTCTGATTCATTCAAAGTACATTGTGTTGTAAAATAATAGAGTGGAGAGATTTGGATTGACAATGCGCTCTCATGTTTCCATAGGCAGCGGCTTAAAGGCAGTTAATATTGAATGAGGCCAAACTCATAGCCGAGGCGGGATACATAATCTTGAGTTGTTAGTTTGTCCTACTGCCGTTGTAAGATTGAATCTACAAGAGGCCTCTGTTGCTAGGGGTCCCATTACCCTAGTAACCAGTGAGTGTTTACAGCGGTCAGCAGCTTTGCCTTTTGCGTCCTGGCTCTGGCTGAATGAGAGGACCCTGTGAGCTCCCCCGTCTGATCGGCGTGGTAGTGGTCCGCTGTGTTTTGGACACTTGGTTTCAGTTCAGTAGATGGGCAAAGGCAGGTGAGTGGTATATTCTGGTAGTTATGTGTATAGCTGCGGTTAACTATCAGACTTAAATTGAGCTTTTGGCCTGCAGCTTTGAATTTTATGGAAAAGGCTGGAACATTTTGTATCCTTTCAGGTTAGATTTGTTTTAATGCATCAAATCACATGACATAGCAAATACAGTACCGTTATGTTAAAATAAATACTAAAAACCCAAAATGTTATCATCCAAATTTCTTCAAAAAGTCGTAATAATATGTGCAATATAACAAAATGGTAATTACAGTAAAAAGCAATTGAACTAACATTGCATTTATTTATTTACTTATCTATCAGGATCATGCACAGTTACATTAAGCATAAAAGCAGAGATGCATGTACCAGCTACTGAACTCACACCAAACCTTGATTTTGGACTAAATGGTGTAATTCATCATCATTATTAGTGGTCAACTTTTTCAAATATTTTCCTGTAATACTTTTTAATTTTATATTAAAATATTGTATATTAAGGTCATGAGTTACAGTTGAATGACTTATTTTAGTACTACGAACACTCTTTAACAAAGACACAATAACATGAAAACATAATGTAATCCTCTCCAGACCAAGTGCAAATATAAAATCTGTAATGTATTTTCTCACAAACAGCTCATCAGGCTCTTTTTATACTTGTATTTAAATTCTACTGTGAATCAAACCCATTTTACTTCTAAATAAAACCAGGCATTGTGTTGTGTCGTAGAGGGGGGTGAATGCAGCTCACAGACTTGCTCTTTGTGGTGTGATTCCTCCGCACAGATCACTGACTGAAAACGGTAATGAGCCGTGACACAGCCATGTCAGCAGGCCGCAGAGAGGAGGAGCCGAGTGGGGGGCCGAAAAACCACGCATCACACGAAGAGGAGGAGGAGCCAAGTGAGGGGCCAAAAAACCACACATCACACAAAGAAGAGAAGGAGGGGGAGGGGCCTGTGCCACCTGATCCATCAACGGAACAGGAAGTGATGTCGCCAGGTGCAGCAGAGCGAGAGCAGCATGAGGAGGAGGGGGGCTCGGAACATCCACACCAGGAGCAGCCCTGCCCGCCTGATCCGCAAACGGGACAGGAAGTGATGTCATGGGCTGGAAAGGCTTGTAGGCAGAGGCACGGCCATGAGCGCTCAGCTGTGAGTCCAATGAGGAGAGAGAGGACATCAGGTGGGGGGTATTTATGTGTAAAAACATCTTCTCATCCTTGTTGCCATGGCGATTAACAATTTACAACTAAATATTATATCTTTTGAATGAGAAAAAATCCTGAAAATGTTGCATATAACAGGAAGCTGAGAGCCATGAATAAAATATATTAAAACACTAGTTATGTTAGTTAGTTAGGTGTTATTATTGCTCAAAAGTACCATAGCAAACGTGCATTTTCACTGTGAGCAGAGCCGCCTTTTCACAGATCTGACCCCTTTAACTTGGCCTGGTAGTGTTACTTGCTTGTTTCTATGGAGAAATAATGCAATACTGTGGAACATGGCAGGCAAAGTAACAACATTTTTATGGTAACGAGCAGGTGACCAGAAAAGTTGCATAGTTAATAATAATGAAAATCAGTTATATCTCAATTGAATAAAATTAAAGGCGCACTGACATAAATATATTAACTGTTATCATCTTAATGGTTAATACCCCTTTGAAGAATGAGATACAGTATCCTTATAAAACCTTAATCTTCTTTAATATTTGTTCTGTTCTTGTCCATAGTTAATAGCTTACCCGTGTGTATCAGAGCAGTGCGTGCACGGCCTCTCGCCAGAAGTGTCAGCTCTTACCCGTTCAGGAGAGGCCACATGGAGGAATCCCGGAGACCTGGGCCTTTCTACTTCTTTGGAGGAGCAAATGGAGCAGATATGTACGACTAATAATCACACACTCTTCAGACACAGTAAATATTATGATTCTTAGAGGTCCTATATTGTACAACATTGGGTCTTGTGACCTTAAGCTTTGTTATAATGCTGTTACCTCATCAAAAAACTACCTGGAGTTGTGTTTTGTTTCATTCACACATGTTTGTGTAATTCTTTATTGTAAGTCTGTCTACAGCTCAGTGGATCTGTGTGTGTATGAACATCGACATGTATGGAATTGTGTGTCTGTATGTGTATATGTATGTGTATGTGCCAAAAGAATTAAGTAGGTATTCTGTACCTGTACACATAAAAGATTTGTTTAGTTTGTTGTTTTTTTTGTAAATAGTTCTGCCTTCTTGTATCCTATTCTATATGTTAATAGGGTTGGGCAAAATAAGTGTTAAAACTTCAGCCTAAGCCCTTTCAGTCTGTAGAATAACTAATCATTAATTGTTAATTGACTGTACAAAAATAAACTAACTAACTGAATGAAAAAAAACATAAATCCAGGTATGTTTTTGACAAGGAAATAACACTATAATAGATCAGAAAACAGCATAATATGAGTGCTATAAATGCTGTTGTTTTCTTCAGTGTGTGCAGTTACTGTGAAAGCAAAGGCTGGACCAGGATTTATAACAAGCAACGAGAAGATTTCAAATTGAAGTGGTGTGAGTCCAGGTCAAAAGCCAACTACAGCAGCTTCAGATCAGGTGAGGACTGAGACACAACCACCAACATCATATCCCCCTCTTACGTTCACATCTGAAGAATTACATAAACGTTTGTAGCTGCGATAAGTACTTTCTCTTCATTCTCTAATAAGTAGACCTGTCATGATAAGAATTTGAAGTAAAAATAGATGATAAATGGTGATTAAACCAAATCATAAAGCAGAATTATCCCCAAAAAAGTGTTCTAAATCTACAATATTATAAAAAAAAAACATGAGTCGCTGTTAATAAATAACAGAATGTAACACTTAAAAGGTAGTGTGTGTCTATAATGAGTCATAGAAGTTCATAATACAATACTCTACAGCTCAAATCTAATTATAGAACAATAACCAGAAACTTCGACAAAGAAAAAGTCCCCACGATAAATATTGAAAATTATTATTCCATTTGTCATGTATTGGACGATAAGCTAATATAGTAATTATCCTCACAGGTCTTCTAAAGTAACAATAATGTCCAGTAGCATCTTCACTTTTCCCCAGGTGAACAGTTAATTTTCCAGATTCCCAATAATAATGTTTTGACCACAAAAATTGGACTTCTGAGCAGCCTGAGGGAGTATGAGAGAGTCAGCAGCAAAGTCAAGCACGGTCAAGGCATCAGGTAAAAACATCTGAATAAATCTTTCACTTATTATGGATTTATTGACATTTTGGAGTCTTTTTATGTTGTAATGTACAGTGTCGCATTTGATGAAGATCTTGTAGTTTTACTTTTCTTTTAGGTAAGTACTTCTCTCCTCTAGTTTGTGCTGGTTTTGGTGAGTGTGTGTGCATGTGTGCGTGCGTGCGCGTGTGCGTGTGTGTGTGCGTGTGTGGGGGGGGGTAAAGACTGTGAGGATTATTTCTTTATTATGTTTAAACATGCAATAAAAATAAATAAATAAATCTGAACACAGGGCTTTTCAAGTGGAAATGAACAATACACTTAGGCCTGTCATGATAACAACTTTTGCAGCACGATATATTGCTACAGAGAAATAGAAAGATTAAGAAGAAAATTAACAATAATACTGAAACTACTTTATGCCTGACTCAGGTTGCAGGTTAATCCCAGTAAACCATTTTTAATAGACACTCATTTAAAGGCCTAAACTGCAACAAAGAAATAACAAAATGAACCCATAAAAGTTACTAATTCAACTCTCAACTGCTCAAATCTTATGGTATTACAACTAAAATAACAAAAGTCCCCCCATTATTACAAAGAAACTATACACACGATAAATACTGAGCCCCAAAAAATATTGTTCCAGCTTTCATATATTGAACTGTAATTCGATATGGTAAGTAACAGCTCGTAACTCTGGACAAATAAGCAGTATATTCGGTATTTACTTCTGTCAGTATGTTTCTTTAAATCCTTTTGAACAGTTGTCTAGTAATAATAATGGATCAGAAAAAAAGGAGTTTAAAGTGACTGAGCATTTTCTTTTACCTTTCAGATCTAGGACAAACAAAAGGGCTAAAAATAGCTTTAAATAATGTGCCTTTATTAAACAAGCCGATTGTTTGAGAGTTTGATTGTTAGGATTACTCAAAAGGATTTCAGGACTGAGTAAACACTTGAATGACGCATCATTAGTACTAAACACATATTAATACATAAAATAAATAACCCACTACAATATAAATGTATAAATGAAAGTAAATTGGATATTATAAATGTATTTTTTAAATAAATACTGTTAAAGGTGCACTATGTAACTCTTGGATATGTCTTTGCTCTGCCTGGAATATTCCACAGTATGACATTAAAAAGCGCTGCCTTACATTTACTCAATTACGCACTGCAAAAAACCATATCTAAGTAAGTTAAAATGATTAAATTAAGAACATTTGACTTTATTTGAATAGATTCAAATTGACAAGTAAAATTATCAACCAACGGAATAAATATGCTTTTCTTAATTTGAGCATTTTGATTTCTTATTTCTTATTTTAAGTGCAAAGAGTTGTTGTTTTTCTTATTTTAAGTTTAACAAGATGTGTTTTCATATTTTAACTACAAAAAGTCTTGTTCCATTGGCAGATCATCTTACTTGTGAAGTGAAATTTACCCAAATCATGATAAAACTTTCTTAATTCAAGTCATCTTAACTTTTCATCTTAACTAGATTTTAGTTTTTGTGGTACAGATGGTTTTATAACTTAAAAATGCCTGGAAAAACAGCCATTCTGACTTTGAGGGGGGTCGCCTCTCCCCAGATCTTGGTTTCCATGAAGATAGACATTTAATACTGTACTGTGAAACATCCCAGATAAAGAAATAAGTAACATCTTCATGGAGAAAAGCATTTGACAGACACAATGCATCTTTAAAATACTGATTTCTTTGTTGCTTATTGTTTCCAGAAGACTTAAAATGGATGAGTTTATTCCGACCACATACCGCATGGACATGAGAGAAGAAAGAGACGCCTTTTTCTCAATGCAGGAAGGTCTGTCCCCTCACCTCTGCTGGTTTGACTGGATCTATGTTGTGTGTATGTTTAATGTGGCAGAATAAACCAAACAATGGACAGAGACACAGCTACAGTTTGTCCAGCCTATTGTTGAGGCTGTTGCTATGGAGATTGTTTAATCACGGAAAAATAACGCGCTCCATCTCCCTTCTGATAAAGTCACCACGGGAACGAGGGGGTTGCTCTGGAGACGAGTCAGTAGAGGGCAGGACTGAGCACAAACAAGCAGACACTCTAGAGGACGCCAAGATAGCCTATAATTAGCATTAAATCACAGTCTGAAACAATGGAAATGTTGTTATATGTCAAGAGTAAGATTACTGCTAAGGTAAACATATCATTATTAGTACAGTATGCCAATAGTCAGCAGTTTACTTTGTATGGTTTTGAATTCAAATTGTTTCATCATATTATGTATATTTACATTTTTTATACATTTTGACCAGAATCATGTGCCATTTTTATATAATCCTTCCTCTGACCTTCAAATCTAAAATAAACTACTTAGACTTAGACTTTATTGATTCACACGGGAAATTATTTGTACACAGCAGCTCACACATCACAATATAATACAATAACAGAGAAAACATATAAAAGGTAATAAATTCTAAATAAATAGCAAAAACATTACAAGAGAAAGTGTCAAAAAAGATATAATTATATAAATGTATATGTAAGTGAAAATAAAATAGATAAGTAATAGGGATGTAACAATAACCAAAATATCGTGATATTGTATCATCAAAGTTCTCACAATAATATCGTGGACCATCGAAATATGTCGAATTACAAGTCTCTTTGCTTAAATTAAGAGTTAAGGTGCAGCTATAGTTAAAAAAGGCAGATGGAACGACATAGACCATGATCCTTTGCTCCATTTCAGTGCAAACCACAAGACGAAATAACAGTTCTAAGCACTTTTAAATCTTAGTTCTTGGATTAGTCTTGTCAAGGCATTTTAAGAGGAAAAAGTACCATATTAACAGTTTTAGTAGCCTCCACAAAATATCACAATAAATATAGTACTATGAGATGTATATCGTGAAAATGTCATACCAAGAGATTTGGATATTGTTACATCCCTAATCGTGTGCCTCCTCACCGTATTGTGAGCTTTTCCACAATATCGCAATAAATATCATACCGTGAGGCTCATACGGTGAAGATATTGTATCATGAGACTTGGACATCATTACACCCCTAATAAGTAATAAAAAGTACAACTACAGCTTCATACAAGAGGTCATAGGAAGATAGTGCAACAGTGAAATGATGATTGACATTTATCTGTTTATTTATTATCTGTTACATAAGGGTGAATTGTTGTACATTTGCAGGGAGTGTTATATGAATGTAGTCCTGTATCTATCACTGAGAGGAGCTGTAGGAGCCTGTTGTTAGTCTGGTGCAGTGGGTGAGCAGCAGTGTCCAGGATGGAGAGAATTAAAGAAATTAAAACAATATTTGTAACCTAAAGCACACACAAAACCCTAAGTTACTTTGAGAAGCTGCCTATATAGAACATGCAAATATATTTTAAAAGTGCACAATAACTTTTCATGCGTGTCTCCAAGCAAATGTTATTGCTTTGTCTAGAATGTTCCATGGTATAGATCAGGGGTGTCAAACTCATTTTGGTCCAGGGGCCGTATCCAACCTACTTTGATCCCAAAGAGGCCGGATCAGAAAACTCATGTCATATAAACCCCAAAAATAGCAATAAGTTCAAATATTTGTGCAGAGAAATGCAGATCTATTACAGAAATCTTTTTTAACTGATGAACTCTTTCTTTTACAAAATATAATATTATGAACAATCTGAAACTTTAAGAAAAATGCAATTTCAACACAATATTTTAACATGAACTTGTCTGCAAATAAAAATAAGTCAATTTTTCTTGTAAAATCCTGCACTCGGCTCCAGTTTTCTCATTTTGGACATTTTGCTGATGAAGGTGTCACGGTCAACAGTCAAAACGATCGTCCTTTAAGAGCGTTTGGAAAGAGACAAGTCTTCATTTGTGCTGCTCTGGTGGGAGGGGCCATGCACAGAGGCGCTGGAGACACTGTTATGATAAACACCATAGAAAATTACCAATATTTTAATAGAAATATAATTCAAATATTTTAGTAGAAAATCAGCCGAGGGCCAGATTAAAGGTCTTGGGGGGCCAGATCCGTATGTTTGACACCCGTGGTATAGATTAAAACTAGAGAGACAAGCAGGTTACAGCACTGCGCTACATTGCCAATCAGATCTGTGGAGAGTTGTCCCTATTCAGAGAAGGAATTATTGTATTTTTGAGCAATAGAAACACCCATAATGAATAAATGCCAGATGGATATGTTTAATGTTATACCATGGATGATTACAGGGAAAGCAATAACATCTCCATGGAGACAAGCAGTTAGCGAACTCTCCACCAGAAACGTTACACAATGCACCTTTAATGTTCAATTATTATGTTTACGTTTCTATCCATTTGTAGGTTTGAGCAAAAACCAGAGACACATGTGGATCTGCAAACCCACTGGTCTGAACCAAGGGAGAGGGATCTTTCTTCTGAAGAGCCCAGAAGACATGAGCGCATTCAGACACAAACTGCAGGAGGGAGAGGACAGCCACAAAACACCACACCACCACCGGCAACCACAGGCACGCATCGTCCAGAAGTATGAATATCTGAATTTACTTTTGTTTTTGAACATAGACTGTATAAAAAAGCGAACTAAGTGAGTGCGACATCACCCATAGTGTTCAGCTCCAGTCAAATGAAGCTTACAATGCTGGAAGTTATAGGGACACATTTGAAGCCAATTCCATATTAGGAATAAGATTTGATTTACAGACAAAACTGCAAAATAAAAACACTAGGATCATCTAGTTAATACGAACATTTCAAGACCAAAACACTGACAGAGAGCAGGGTGACACTTTTTTAATGTAAAGTGAATTGTTTTTGAACAGTTTTAACTTAACCTGTTAATTTTAAAATGTATTTTTTACTGCACACAGATACATCCAGAACCCTCTGCTTCTAAAAGGCAGGAAGTTTGACGTGCGCTCCTACCTGATCATCGCCTGTACCACTCCATACTTGGTTTTCTTTTGTCATGGTTACGTCCGCCTGACCTGTGACCTTTTTGACCTAAACACCAACAACATGGCGACCCACCTCACAAACCAAGTAATGCCAATACAACTCTAGTAATTACACCCATTTTGAATCTATATGTAGTGACTAGAAATGCACAGCTGCTAGTGCCAACTTAAATGGGGGTTAATACCTAAAATGATTTCTCCACTCATTAAAATAAAGCTGTATTAAAACTTGCTTAAATACCTGCTGACGTGCAAATGCAAACGTAAATGACATGAGTGAAATGGCACATTCACACAGACACAATTTACATGTGGAAGTGATTCCACTTCCCTTTCATTTTACTGTAACACAAAGTTTATTTTGGTTTGGGAAGGGTATCTGATCTCACTTGTCACAGAAACAAAATTAACAGTAATAATTGCCAGCTTACTGGCTCACCCTATTCTCAAATGTAATGAGAGAAAAAAAATCACTAATTTTGTTTAAATTCTAATTAGATCATGTTTGACTATGAGTATAATTGTAGAAGCAAAGAACTGAATGTTTTAGCCTTTTTAATTTGTGTGTTTGTGCGCTCCCTGCTGTTCATCTGTTGTCAGTACATGCAGAAGAAGAACCCTCTGTACAGCGAGCTGAAGGAGGACACGGTGTGGTCCATGGAGAGTTTTAACGCCTATGTGAACGACAGGCTTGCTGTTGCTAAGGACTTGCCCAGGGATTGGGTGCTGGGCCTCTTCACTGTGAGTCTCACTGGGACCAATTACACTGTAATAATAGAAGTGCCCAAATCAGATGGGTGCTGTGGATGAGCTCATTGTTTTGTGGTCCAGTAGAATACAGAGTTTAAGATGGCTAGTTACCACATATATAAAAAGTGGTATTAAAATGTTAAATTTTAAATATTCATTTTATAAATGTATAAAATATATTCATATATTCACTATAATTTACACAGAGCAAGAGAAAATTGGTTTTAGATTCTATGCCCCTCAATTACTGTACTTTACTATGAACTCTCTCATAAACCAACTAAAACTAAACTAAAAATAAAATAAAATAAACAGTGTAATTAAACACACTATACCTGTTATTTTTTTTTCAGACCATAGTTTTAACTGAATGCCTTGTGGACTACAGGCTCACCAAATATTTAAATGTATATTTTATTGTGCAGTTTAATAATTGTAAATGTTTTACATTTTTAACTGTGTACTTAGGACTCTCTTGATAATTAGATGCAGTCTCAATGGGACTTTTTGATAAAATAAAATAAAAAGTAACATATTCAGTAATTCACTTTGACTTTGGGCCTTGTGAGCTTTGGACATTGCTCTCCTTTATATATAGAGCAAAACAATAAAAACAATATTTTCATGTATATTTTCATGTTTTAATACTTTATCATGTTGAATTAGAAACGTATGCAGCAAATCATGACCCAGTGCTTCCTGTCAGTCAGAGCCAAGCTGGACTGCAGACTGGGCTTCTTCGACCTGTTTGGCTGTGACTTCATGGTCGATGAGGACTTTAACGTGGGTGTTTATGATAAATACTGTATATTATAGGTATTTTTCCCCCATGAATTCTTCTGTAAATATAAAGTGTGAATTATTGATGTTTTCAGGTTTGGCTCTTGGAGATGAACTGTAATCCAGCTCTCCACACAAACTGCTCTGTTCTGCAGGAGGTCATCCCCAGGGTTGTCCACGAGACTCTGGGTGAGTCTCTGCACTCAAACCAACTCAATTCTGAATAAATTTTGAAACTATAATATGTAAATAAAAAAGTTTTGTAAATTTATTAGTAAAGTTATTAACATTTTTGGTTCAGCTGATCAATAATTGCTCCATATTATTCAGATAAATTGTTTCCATTATTAGAAAATGGTTATCTCCCATGGCCCAGGATTCTTTTTGTGTGTCCAGTGGAGGCCCAAGGCAAAGCCAAAGTCAGCTTTTGTTCACATATACACACAGGTTGCCAAGTTTTCTGTAATTTACATTGTGTATCTTATCTTTTGCTTCATTTCTAGACTTGTCATTGGAGATCTTTAACAAATGTCGGCGTGGACAGAGAATCCTCCCCCTGTCCAGCCAGAAAGAATTTGTCCTGCTCTTTAAAGGAGTGTTTCCACCTAATGCAGCTCTGCCGTGTAACAAGAGCACGCCTACACACTGTGATCTGCCCCAGAAGAAGAGCCCCAAGGTGGAGCCAACAAGATGGCAGCCAGGCCTCCAGATTAAGTCTTTGGAAATCTCCGAGGAAGTGTTAGCAGAAGGAGATGGAGAGTGTCTCTCTGCCCCTGCGCTGTCTGTCTCACCTCCTCAACCAACTCTTAATGACTCCAGGCCGTAGACTGTATTTATAAATGGACATAGCTAACCCACTTGTCGCCGTGTTCCAAATAGTGAGCATGGGAGGCGCTTCCGGCTCCACCGATTCTGGCTCCGATTCACATTACATTCTAAAATTGTCACCCATCTCTCTGTAGTGGATGCAGTGACCCTCATCATTTTGATATTAAAACGTTCGTATTAACCCACTCTACATCAGTGTTTCCTAAACTTTTTTCAGGGGACCCATATTTTAAAAGTCACAAACCTTTGCGACCCAAGTCAATAGACATTATTCGTAAATCACAAAATAAAGGTGGATTTGACCATTATTGAAATTTTTTTTTATGGAACATATTTCATTGTTGACTGAGTGATTGTGTCTCTCTGAACATTTAGTATTACTCAGGTTTTAAACAATGAAAAACAGTAATTGAACCAGCAATAAAAGGATCCATAAATCAATCCATAATTATTTTTCTATTCAGCATTCAATTCAACCAGCAATATTGGAACAAAGTAGTCAATAAAATAATTACAAAAAAGATTAGAAATTATACAAAACATGTCATAACATTTTAACATTTGTAATGAGATAGGCGGGCCTGTCTGCATTTTTGTAGCGTGTTCCAGTCCAGGTGCAGGAGTAGAGCACAAAAAAAACCCCACCTAACTCACCAGAGGGTCTCGACGCAGTCTTTGAGAAACAGGGAGTCAGGGAGTCAATGGGGAGAAAAAGGGGTGTGTTGTCCTGGGCCCCAGAGTTTTAGAGGCCCAGAATTAGATCCTCTTCGTATTAATTTATATTAGAGACCCATGTAAGGCTTCTTTCTCCTGAGCCCCCAAAATTTTGTTGACATGCCTGATTATGGGTGATGCCACACTCCCTCAGTCCATTTTTTCATACAGTCTATGCTCACGGCCCAGGAGAAAGAAGGTCACACTGATGTTACAATACAGACCTCCATAGCGAGACTACCTGACCACACGCACATGTTAAACCCCTGAATGTGCTGAGGCTGCAGCTGAAGTCACAGTAGAAGAGAGGAAGTAGGAATAGTGACTCCTCATTTACCGTAAAAACCAAAAGCACTCATGTCATTTTAACACCTGGCTCTGTTTTAACTGAAGCGGAAGTACAGCTGGCAGTTTGACAGCTTATATATATTGCTAGTTTTCCTTTTGATTTTGTGCTTTAACAGTGTATTCCTGTAACCTAAGCTTCTCTTACACAACCCAGTCAAATGTAACCCTAAAATGTCAGAAACCCACAATACAACATGGGCTAATTATTGAGTTGTATAGATGTCTTCAGTTGAACTATTTAGTGAGTGAAGCATAATTGTACATTAAAGTTGCACTGTGTACCTTTCTGATCTGCTTGTCTCTGTGATGATGTTATTACTTTGTCTGGAATATTCCACAGTACACATTCAACTTATCCATATTGCATTCATTTAATTAAATACACTGAAATACTAGCATTCCTACTATGACTGGGGTCACCTCTCCATAGATCTGGCCTGTTACTTGCTTGCATCTTGGTGGCATCACATGCTTGTTTTTAGAAATGACCATGTCTAATACCATATTGTGTGACATTTCAGACAAAGCAATGAAATCTCCATGGAGACAAGTACATTACCCAGATTTTAGCGTTGTTGCAGCGGCTTCCAGTTCATTTTAGAGTTGATTATAAGATGATTTAAGTTGATTTTTCTTTACACCCCCACGCGCTCTGAGGTCCAAGGACCAGCTCCAAACCAGGGGGGACAGGGCCTGTGACAAAAGCACCATCGTTTATTAAAGTCACGTGGAATATTCAGCTGTGATAATAAAACTGCTATGTTTTTTGTTTGTTTTTTTATATAAATTGTACCACAGAAAATCAATGTTGTTTAAAGTTTCACAGTGTAACTTTTCTGGTAGAGTGTCCACCACTTGCTTGACTCCATGTTGTATTTTCCTGAAATGTTCTATAATATGGCATTTAATCTAACTATTTCCACGTAGACAAGCAGGCCGCATCACCAGGCCAAGCTACAGGTCAGATCTCTGGAGAAGTGGACCTGCCCATATATAACGCACCTGTGATTGACTGAGTATAAGATAACTGTTTGATGTCATATTGTGGAACATCCCAGCAAAGTCATAGCATCACCATGAAGACCAGAAGAGTTACACAGTGCGCCTTTAATGCCTTGTAGCTGATCATATTGTGGATTGTAAACTGACATTTTTATGCACATAATTTCAGATATGAGATAAGGAAAGCTTCTGAAGTGTAAAGTATAAAACCGTGGCTTACCCAATTCTTTGTTGTATCTGACAGAAGGTCCGTCAGCCCAAAATGTCTTTTCACATTCCATAAAAAGCTACAGTTGTCACTGTCTTTTCTGTTTCTGGGTGTGAAGTCTGTGTGAGAGAAACAGAGAAGTCGTAACTCTACAGTTGTCCTTAAGAAGGTACATGTTTTTTTTTATTTGTTAATATACTGGTGCATTGTGTAACTTTTCTGGTAGAGGGCCCTCCAGTTGCTTGTCTCCATTGGTTACTGCTTATTGCTTTACCTGCAACGTTCCAAAGTATGGCATTAAACTTTTCAGTCTCCATATAAATGAGCAGGAGACACCACCAGGAGAATTTACAGGAGAAATCTGTGGAAAGGTGGCCCACTCACAGTCAGAGTACATGTTTTTTAATGTACTGAACAATAAAAACAGCCATAATTGAATAAATGCATCTTATTAAAATTTAGTAATGGTTGAACATTACAGGCAAACCAATACCATCTGCATGGTGGCAGATCCCCAACCTGAAAAGTTACGCAATGGGGAGTGTGCCGATGTTCCCTCAGACTTATGTTTTTTTTTTGTTTTTTGTTTTTTTTGGTGAATACAGATCTAATGTAGAGGTCATGGTGCCTAGGTTGAAAGGGAATTATCCCTTTAAATGCAGTATAAAAATAAAATGACTTGAATTAGAGTTTCATTTTTGAGAAAAATCTTAGAAATGAGGGAACATAGGGAAGACCCCAGATAGTCCAGTCATATTACGTTGTGTTCTGATTTATGTTGTGATGTTATTTCAGATTATGTCAGATTACTTTAAGATTTAGGACACTCTGAAGTTAATTTAATTCATAAAAATACTAAATATATTTGGTCTAATGCTAGTAGTAGTGTTGAGTATTAGTAAGCTAACTAATTTAGCTATGACAGTCAGTGTTGCCGTCACTTATGTCCATGAAAATCGGGTAAAAAATTCACAAATTGTACTAAATTAAGAGTAAGGTTACTTCAAAAAAATATTTCTCAAGTCTAAGTAAAAAGTAGAAGTTCAAAAAATGTGTTAAGTAGCTAAGATTAAAAATATTCAGGGAAACTACTCCTCAAGTAACTTAAGTTAAAAGTAACGGGACAAAACATCTGATTTGTCATTTAAAGTTAATGTAATTACGAGGATAAAACATGAAATAGTACTCATGTCTGGTATTTTCACAATGGGAAAAAAGTACAATATCTGTAAATAATGACTCGCGTAAATGTATGAGGTCATAATTAAGTCTTTATTTATATAGCGCCTCCACAGACATTTTTCTGTCCCCAAAGATGCTTTACACAGCATTATTTCATACAGCATTTTTCATTCACTCTATACCCTGGTGATGGTAAGCTACTATTGTAGCCACAGCTGCCCTGGGGCACACTGACAGAGGCACACCTGCCATGCCACTCAGCACCATCAGTCCCTCCAACCACCCCCATCACTTTCATACTAGGCAATGTGGGTGAAGTGTCTTGCCTAAGGACACAATGCTTGAATTGATTGTATTTTAACTGTTTAAGGAGACCTGGAGCATGTTTTGGGTTGATGGAGGAAACCCATCCAGACACAGGGAGAAACATGCAAACTCCACACAGAAAGGCCTGGGCGACCCGGGGATCAAACCCAGAACCTTCTTGCTGTGAGGCATGAGTGCTAGCCACTCAGCCACCGTGCCGCTAAGTCATTGTAATGCTGCATACTGCTTGCATTGAAAAATGAACTTTAAAAAAATAAATGACAATCATTGGGACCAACTATTGAGGGCACAGAGAATTCCTGCTGTCAGTTGGATTTTGCAAAAAATAGTATTGCTGGTTCAGTTGAATATTGAAAAAAAAAAAAAGAAATGGGCTACATTTAATGGCCAAATAGGCGACTTTACCTTTTATCTCTGGTTCAGTTACTGTTTTTCATTGTTTAAAGTTGAGTAATACTAATTGTTCAGAGAGACACAATCACTCAGTCAACAATAAAATATCGTCATTAATGTTCAGTAATGGTCAAATCCACTTTTATTTTGTGATTTATGAATAATGTCTTGTCATGTTCACTTGAAAACACCACAACATGATATCACAAGGGGAACTGAGCATTTTGAGCTTTGGAGATGTAGACAGACTAATAATAAAGGGTTGTGCGAGTGAAACAAAACACAACTTCAGGTGTGATTTTGATGTAGTAACAGCACTGTAACATGGCTTAAAGCTCACGTGTAAACTTTGCGTAATACACTACCTTTAATACTAACTAAACAAAACATTTTTCTCATTCCCACTCCTTTTTAGACCACTTCAACAGTATATATAGTAGTCATGAGTGATAGAAAACCTTTGTATTACAGTGATTCTTAAGTTTTACACTGTTCTTAAGGTCACCAGTCCTCCTCCCTTCAATGTAATCCAGACCACAGAACGTTACAGGACACTGCACTGGTGTTGTGGTCATGTTGTTGTTGATACTTCTCCATTTCTTAACCCCTCTTTCCGCCTTTCATATTCCATACAGACAAACACATCACTGGTTTCCCAATAGGATGTTTACTTATCCTTAACCTGGCTTCACAACTCACCTCTGACACGAAGACTCCACGTGCACTGTTTCGCCACACATCCTCACGCCAGCATCTCTGTAATAACTGCAAAAACTGTAAGTATAAGAAACCAACGGAGAGGAAGGAAGGAAGAACTGCGTAACATTTTTAACACCTAAAATATTTTGTACTTGATAGTTTTTTTGAAAGACAGAACACGTGTGTGAAAAAGGGGGAACTGGAGATTAACAGGACCCCTCCTTCATCCTCTTTTGCAGGGCTCAGAGCTGGTATTGGGTTTTATAGTGTCCTCAGATTGGGGTGAGCTCTGGGGCAGATGGTCGTGGTCAGTTTGTGGACAGGAGGAGCACGGGGACGGTCATGGGCTGCTGTAGTGTGACCCAAAGGCACAGTGGAGTGGACGAAGTGGGGCCAGATGAGATTGAACTGCTGGAGCTGCCCGTGGACAACCTGGGGTAAGTAAAACTACAAGTGCGCTCTGTGAAGGCATTGTAGAAGAATGTTTAAAGGTGCGTTAAACCTTTCTATCATCACGGAGACAAACCAGACCAAGTTACAGGTCAGATCTGTGAAGAGGCGACCCCGCTCACAGACAGAATGCCTGTTTTTCTAGGTACTTTTCAAGCTTTAAAGCCACCTGTAATTGAATAAATGTAAGGTAGAACTGTTTAATGTCATACAGTGGAACATCTAAGCAGTGACGGACACCCAACAAAAACTTACACAGTGCACCTTTAATTATAATTTCTTTATTTGAAATCTTTTTATATTTGCCATCACATACCTTACATAAATTTATGACAGTCTCCATCACCTCTTCTGTACTTGTTTTTAAATCTCCTCTCAAAACACACTTTGGTCTTTGGCACAGTTTGAGATGTCGACATTTTACCACATTGTTTTTATTCTATTTGTTTATATAAATATGTCGTTTTTATTGTTTTTATTGTAAAGTTTTGTAGCACTTTGATTCGTCTGTGTTGTGCATTATAAATAAAGTTGCAGGTGCAGTGTCTTCATTAGAACTGGCTGCACATAAAGTAAATGTACAGTAAAACAAGTATTCACTAGTAATTGGAATATTGTAATTTACACTTTTATGGCAGTTCAACTACCAATTTTATGCCATGAAATGCAAATTTACCTAATCAAAATAGCCAACTAACTAATACCTAATATACTTTGAAATGTTGAATATAAGTAATGTAACTAAATGACAGAAATTCAAGTTTATTATGTTCACTCAATTCTTAAAGAAAAAGTAGAGATGTGTCAAAAAAAATGAATTGTGAAAGATTTACATTATGGATTTATAGAAATATAATGATACATATACTGTAACATATTAGTAACATTCATTTAAAGCCTGGTGTAAAGGAGGTAAGTGTCCAAATAAGATGACAAGATTAGGTAACTTTAAGAAAAGACTATGTGGAAAAATGACTAAAATAATGGCACATTTCTTTTATTTGAAATAATTTTATATTTTCCATCACACATACCACAGACAGAGGCTACATAATTATTAGCATCAATCACCTTTTAAACTATCACCTACTTATACCGAAGTGTATATACAGAATATCTGTCTCTATTTTTTTAAGAGGAAGAAGTGACAGAGCAGACTGAACCACAGTGTTGGTTGAGCTGGTGTCTTGTTTCTCATTAAATGAAATGAAAGCGCAAGCTGAACTATCTTCTGTTCCTCTTTAAAACACACTTATCTTTGCCTGAGGTGTAGGTTTTGAAGTTTGGAGGATCAGACTGGCACAGACTAGTGTGTATCCATATGATTTGTGGTTACTATCTGCAGTTGGACTAATTGTCTTTTATTAACTCAGAGTAAAGTGGGTGCAGTGATGCTGCACTGATGTGATTAGGAGATTAGAATAAGACAGAGGCGGGAGTCTGAGGTCTAAGGCTAATCACTTCTGTGCCCGCCAAATATTACTGCTCAAATCACAGAGGATGGATCTGAGTCTGTACATCACAAAGATAACCAAGGAGAAGAATATCATGAGTCTGACAGCTTTCATTCACAACCTGCTGGGTTTATGTGGTGAAGTACAGAGTGGTGAGGGTTCTGTAAATGTGATATTTATGACCGTTACATTGTTGTGAAGACCTGCTTGTTTACACTGGTATGTAGAACCAGTGTGAAACATGTGTGTGCCACATGCGTCTGCGTGTCCAGTAGAAACAGGACTATTGTTCTGTAATCTGATTAAGTCTGGCTGCTTCGGGCCCCTTCAGACCGGCCGCTCCTCTCCACACTGACAGCTCCCGCTGATTCTCATTTATTCACTCCACCCATTTCACTCTGTGCCAGTTTGTCCCCTTCTTTTAAATGCTCTTTAAACCTTCACACCACTCACAAGCCAGTGCCTGATCAATCTTTTTTGGAAGCTGGTCAAATGAGACAAGCTTGCACCCTTTACTTAACCATTGCCTCCTGCTCGCAGCATTATGGACCCTTTTGCCAGAGGTCACTTAATCTCACTTTAAAACTGCTGTTGTGAGGTGATTTGTGTGTGTTGTTTCAGAGTGTGGAGTTTAGGGGACAGCCGCCTCCAGCTGAGGTCCAGCAGAGATGAGCCCCCTGTGTCCCCTCCCTCCCGGCCCCCGCCTCGATGTCCTTCTGTTCCACAGCTGCCACAGGAGGTACGACCCCTTATCACACTGAGGCTGTTATTATTGTACCTTTTCGCCTGAGTCATGGTACACTCTGGAGAACTTCCTCAAATAAGGGACTTTATTTTGGTTTTGTTGATTCAGAATTTACAGGAAATAAATATGACTCAGTATTTCAGTTATTGAGTAGTGTAGGTGTCACGGTCAAGTTTTCCTAGTGTTAAATATGTTCTACATGCATTGTTTTTCTGCTGATTTTTGTCTGGACTGGAGTCAAACCAGAGTCTCTCGAGTCAGCTTCATTAAGACACATGTTCTGTTTTCATTACCACCTCCAGGAGGTGCTGTGGGATCTCAGCAGAGAGGAGCTGCACCACAGGATCCTCTCCGGCCCACCAATCAGAGGCTGGGAGGGCCAGCCTGCTCAGCAGTATGGAGACATCATCCACTCCTCACTGCTGTCGCTGTACAACAAATATACTCAGGTACGCAGCTCATGAGTGAAGATACATGTAAAGACTGAGACCACACAAAACATAACATGTGACACTCCCTGTAGGAAACCTCAGAGTGCTGTGTGGTTTTGTTTTCTTACCACCTGTTGCTGCTGTCTGTGGACCACTCAACATGTGACTTTGTCTACCAGGTACTGAGCCTGTTTAACGGGGGAATGACACAGAGTATGTGTTACTTTACCATCTCATACGTTTAGCTACATTATTACAACTGTAATATAATGGGAGTAGAGTGTTATTCTTACACACACACATAGACTGGAGTATGTAATGTGGTTGAAGTGTGGTAGAAGCGACATATGACACTGTGCTGGGCATAACCCTTCTGCTTAATAGTGCATGTTGTAAATATATAATACTTGTACATTAAAATGCTTTTTCTTCCTCCTGACCAGGGCATCCTCCCTGTATCAGGCGTGTCGTTTGTGTCCCTGGACTCCCCTCTGCCTCCTTACACGTTTGAGCTCAGCAGTAAGTATCAGTGCATTTTCACTCACATGTGGATAAGTCACTGACAGTGTTCTGTCTGTCTGTGTGTGTCTGTGTGTGTACAGGTCCTGTCATAGAACCCAAAATATTTCTCTGTGCCAGTGCTGCAGAACTACTCATATGGAAACAGCTGATAGAGGAGAGAAGGCAAAAGTCTCTAACACTGTCCCCAAGCTCAGCCCATTGCGTACTCTCATATCTGGTAACTAAACACAACTCTGCTTCAACTGACAGTGTTTTTCAGTATAGATAAACAGGAAATATATTTTTGTTGTAGTTACCTTGTGATGAACAGTGGAAGAGGGAAGAACTGAAGAAGTACCTGCTCCACGCCCCAATATGGGAGTGGGAGGGCCCCGCCATCCAACACATGGGGCAGCCAACGTACCTCTCTGTAGTCCACATCATTAATCCACTTAGACAGGTGACTGCTCAACAACGTACTCCCATAGTATTAACAACATTTGAGGTGATGAGACTGTGTGATACTAGAGCACTGCTTCTCAAACTGTGATATACAAATATTTGCTTAAATTTGAGTCAATTTATTTCTTGTTTAGATCTAGTATATCAATTGTCTAGAGCAAGTTTATATCTAAAATAGACCTGTTTTAGACTTGTAGACTGTTTTAGACAAAGTAATTGTCCAAAAGGTAGTCATAACTGCATACTAATGTGTAAATATGTCAGTAAAATAATCAAAATGTTTGTATAAAGATTTAAGATTCACTCTGGTTGACGAATGTTTTTTTTTTCTTTTTTTCTTTTCAGGGTCTTCAGGAGAGGCTCATGGTCCTGTTTCCTCAAGATGTGCTTCTGCTCTCACTGGACCACCAGAGGACCTCCCTGCGATATGAGGTGAGTGAAGACCTTCTCCTGGGGGTACGTCATAGACTATCTATAAATGGACATAACTAATCAGCTAGCCACTATGTAGTTCGTGGAGGCGAATGCTACAGGCGACATGACACTCCCTTAGTCCATTTCTTTATACAAGCTATGGGGCATGTACTAGTGTGCACCTACTCCTATACTGCTACAATAAACTTAATAATACTACAGTAGTAGTAGTAGCACTCGTTTAGCTTGGTGTGTAAGTCACCTATAGAGATTTGCTTTGTAAATGACTAGATCAACCCTCATTGTCTCATTACGTTCATGTTTGTGACAGGGGAGATTGCCCCGACACGGCGTCAGAGCAGTGGAGCGCTCTGCCCAGCCTGGACGACTGCAATTTGAACTCACAGGTATTCACAGGTCATCACATTTCAAATGATGAAGATGCTTGTTTTAGTCAAAAATTAAACAGCTTAAGTAATGATAATTCACTTTATTTGTAGAAGTGTTGTATTTATTTAAAAGTCTTTAGTCATTATTTGGCTACAGTAGCTCAGTTGGTAGAGTGTCCATCATTGGTTGAGCAGTCAGATCCACTGGCCCACAGGTTGGTGTTGCGATTCTAGTTCCCATATATGAATGCTGCCGTTGGGTCCTTGGGCAAGACACTTAACCCATATTGCCCTCAGTGTCTGCGTACACTGGTGTATGAATGTGTGTGTGAATGGGTGAGTGGTTCCTTGATGTAAAGCGCTTTGAGTGCCCTGAAGGTGGAAACGAGCTATATAAAAGTAGGACTATTTAGCATAATTTATTTAAAAAATCAGTGTTTTAGAATAGAGATGGAAGAATCTGGTGTCGTTTTAATAATAAAAAATGTATCAGTGTCTAGACTTGGCCTGTCACAATAACAAATTTTGAAGCTTGATATATTGGTACAGTGAAATATAACGATAAACAATAATATTATTATACCACTGATACAATAATAACAAAGCAGGATAATCCGAGTAAACAATTTTTAAATAGAGAGTATTATTAAAAGGCCTGTGCTGCAACCAATAAATAGCAAAATGAACCACTAATTAGCCATAAGAGTGATTTTTTCAACCCTCTCCAGCTCAAAGCTTATTGTGTTACAACTAAAAAACAAAAACCTCTGCACTTTTACAAAGAAAAAGTACCCATGATAAATACTGAGCACCAAAATATGATGATCCAGCTTTCATATATTGAATTATAAATCAATAATATAGCTATTAGTGAGACAGACCTACCTGCAATCATATCTGTAACTTTGGCATGACTGAGATGCATTTTACTTATTTACTGAGGCCCATAAAGATAAAAGACTTAACAGTGTCCTATTGTTTTGATTTTATTTCTGTGTTTATTACTTTTGTTAAATAGATCAGATATTGCTATAGGATCTAACAAAAGAACTGCACCCTGAACATGAGTAGTGTTTGCAAGTGCCTAGGCAAAAAAGTATTATGCAAAATAGACTCTTGTGAGCTTTAAGCTATGTTATAATGTTGTTACCTCCTCAAAAACATACCTGGAGTTGTGTTTTGTTTCACTCACACAAATTTGAACAATCCTTTATTATTACTCTGTTTACATCTCCAAACTTCAAAATGCTCTGTTCCACCTTGTAGTTTTTGAGTTAATAGTTACTTTTTACCTTTAGGTATAGTAGAAATGAGCAATTCCAGGGCTGAAATTATCCAAATGACTCTAATGAAGGTGTATGGAGTTTAAAAACGCAGTGGAGAACTTCCTGTATAATATTAATGACATAACAAGTTGGAGTTGGAGTGTTTTGTGTTTGAGAGAAGCACTCAAACTAATAGAAGTATGCAGTGTGTGCTGTGTTAAACATGTGTGAATGAAACAAATGAGGATCAGGAAACAACATTATAACAGATCAGAAAACAGCCCTTGAAGAGAACTAAAATGAAAGCGTTTCGAACAGCTTAGATGGATTCCACTCATGATTGGACTCAAGCTAACATACATGAACATTCACACAGACAGTACATCCTTCTTTTCTGCATCACTCAAGAAAAAAGTAAAAACACAGAAGTAAAACACAACTCTGCCCACACCAGTCCATCTTTCCACAATCGGGAAATGATTTAACTCCGTAAAATGCTCCTTTTGTGTTTCAGGAGAGCTTGTAGAGACCCTGCAGGTGTCATGTACCTGTCTGCAGGACTATCAGACCTGGATGTTCCACCTCCAGCAGGTACAGTCACATTTATAAAACAATGCGCAAACAGTGATGGGAAGGATACTTTGAAAACGTATCAGTACTGTTTTCTGAATATTTATAACACTTTTACATCGAGTTGCATTTGAATTATAGTGCAAAGACGCAACATAGGATTAAAAACAAGCTTTATGCTTTATTGTTTCACTCTTTATTCTGTATTTCCTATCACTAACTGGGAAAGGAAATATCAGTTTTCTATTTTAATCACTGATTATGTGAAGTTTGAAGCCTAAATTGAGTAATCAGGTGCCGCAATATACTGTACTTGTTATTTTAGAAAAGTAACTGTATTCTGAATATTGCACACACAGTTAGCGGCAGTTAAAAGGGAAAAGATAACGTGATAACCTCGGACTCTTACTCTCATATCATATCTCATATCTTCCTCCTTTAGTCAAGCATTTAATTAGCGTTGTTAAAGTATATATTTGACCCTATTTGGCAGGACAGTGTTGTGCTTTCATAAATAGTGTACCTGATGCTGGAAGAGACATCAAAGACATTATAATTGAAATGTAAAAACAGACTAGTCCTGTGACCTGAACAGAACTCGTGTGATTGATTGACAGCCTGATAGAAGCAGCTACATCAGCATAAAGCCCGCGCCTCCACCAATCAAACCCAAGCAACACCGGAGCCGCACCGAGTCCCAGGAACCAATCATATCAGAGCACTGCCACCTGAACGGACACAGCTGAGCCACTCACAGCTCACTTTATATTTATGTGTAGATAGTGTGTGTATATAAGTTTACTGTTGTTGCCGAATAAAATGCTTAAACAAGACTGTGTTGGCTGAGTATGAGACACATTTGGTGATACCATAGACCATTGTTTCTCAAAGACTGGGTCTCAAGAGAGTTTTTTTTGGGTTGCCTTATTACAATCTGCATGTAGGTCTGCAATGTTCAGTTCTAAATCATGAGAGAGCGAGTGTAGTAAAGCCAGTATTTCTATGCTTATCCCTTTCACTACTACATATATTTGTGAACTGGGATTTTCTGTACTCACAAAAATGAAGACAAAGCACAGAAACAGACTGAATGCTGCGTCTGATCTGCTGCGCTCTCCTCCTGCACCCCGGACTGGAACGCGTGATAAAAACACAGACAGGCCCACCTATCTCATTAGAAATGTTAACGTGTTTTGTATACTTTCTAATCTTTTTGTAATTATTTTATTAACTATTTGTTCCAGTATTGCTGGTTCAATTGAATGTTGAAAAGAAAAAGAAATGGACTACAGTTAATGTCCAAATAGGCGACTTATGGATTCCTTTTATTGCTGCTTCAATGACTGTTTTTCATTCTTTAAAACTTGAGTAATACTAATTGTTCAGAGAGGCACGATCACTCAGTCAACAATAAAATATCCTTCAGTAATGGTCAAATCCACCTTTATTTTGTGAATTATGAATAATGTCTATTGATTTGGGTCATGAAGGTTTGTGATAATTAAAACATGGGTCCCCAGAAAAAAAGTTTGGGAAACACTGATCTAGAGTGGGTTAATACGAACAGTTTAAGACTAAAATGACAAGGCTCACAGCAGCAGTTACAGAGAGAGGGCCTGACAGTCTTTCAGTGTAAAGTCAACTGTCCATGGAGCTATAAGTGCTTCCATGTTCACTTATTAGCTATGTCCATTTATATATACAGTTTATGGGAGATACACGCAAAACTATGAATACACAAATACAACTGAACGTCTGAATTATTGCCATAGAAACGTTTTTATTTCAGTGGTTAGGCATTTACAGTAGCGTTGTGTTTGGGTGAATGAACCTCCAGTGTGAGCAACTATTGATAATGATAATATAAAACAGTCTTTATCCAGTAAGAAATAATCACATTTGAAATATAAATTATATAAGTAAATTAATCTACTCTTTATACATAGTTTCATCTACAGTGAAGGACATTTACATGAGATTCTCCAGAGAGACACCAGCTACAGTAAAAATAAAGCACTTCCATCAGGGGACAGAGGAGTTTAGAGTGTTCAGGTCCACTGTTTGTGACACCAAAGAAGTAAATCCTCAGACGCACAGAGTATGTCATGTTTTGAACAGTGACATGTATCTGAAAATATGCACAGACCACACTTATGTCTTACTCCAACATGAGCTTTTAGTCATGTTGGAATCTTGTTTACTCATTAAAACATGCCCAGAGTTGTGTTTTGTTTCATTTACACATGTTTGAGTAATCCTTTATTATTAATCTGTCTATATCTACAAAACTCAGAATGCTCTGTTCCACCTTGTGATGTCAAGAAGCAGTAGTTTTAACAGCTACTTTTTACATTTAGTTCAGCAGAGACAGATAATTCCAGGTCTGAAACTACCCACATGATTCTAGTGTATGGAGTTCTCCTAAACGCTTAAATATACAGCGTGTGTGTAAAAAGTCTAAATGAAACAAAGCACAACTTCAGGTATGTTTGTGCTGACAAAACAACATTATAACATAGATCAGAAAAAGTGTAATATAGGCCCCTTAAACAGTTACGACTCATTTGAATTGGCAAGGGCTTGATGGCCCTGGTTTTCTTCTCTCTAGTGGGTATGAAGACCAGGCTACTATAGCCATTAAATGTGCATGTTGTGTTTACATGAGGATAATGCTGAGAAATACCTTTATAAAAGGTTTAACGATTTCCATTGTGGCACCCTAAACTGTCCAGTGACTAAGACGGTCATCAAGTAGTTTCTCCTCTAATCCTAATCATACTCTTCTCTAATGGGCCTGGGTGCTGGGACAGGGCTGGAGTACACATGAGTTTAGTCCAAGTGGGACCTGGAGCTCAGGTCAGTCTCCCTCCAGTTTCTGTGTCACACACTTGATCCGGAAGTTTTCTCGGAGGTTACGAAGTCGTGCACTGCGACTGGTGATTTCTTCTACGTAGGTTTTGGGGAACCAGCCCCGCTCCCCGTCTGAGAGACGAATGCCCTCCACCCAGCCTACAGGAACACAACAACACAAGGACACAGACAAGTCAGAAGACTGGATCATCTGAATATGAAATACCACACTCCAGATTTCAGTTCACAGTCCTCTCAACACAAAATGGACAATGTTCATTAAAGCTGCTATATTATGAAAAATGGACTCTTGTGAGCTTTATATCATGTTATAATGCTGTTGCGTCAACAAAAAACATACCTGGAGTTGTGCTGCATTCCATTCACACGTTTGAGTAACCCTTTATAATTCTGTAAGTAAGTCTGTCTACATCTACAAAAGCTCAAAATACCACCCTGTGATGTCATGACTTTTCAAGTTGACAGCTACCTTTTGGCTTTAGTTCAGTAGAGACTGGCAATTCTAGGTCTGAAATAATTCAAATGATTCTAGTGAAGTTTTATAGAGTTTAAAAACACAGTAGAGCACTTCCTGTCCTACCACATAACATCACAAGGTGGAACACAGTGTTCTGTTTGAAATTAGAACTCAGCCTAAAAATGCAGAGTTTGTCTATTAAACGGGTGAATGAAACAAAACACAACTCCAGGTATGTTTGTGACTCGGAAACAACATCATTACAGAGATCAGAAAACAGAGTAATGTGTGCCCTTTAAATGTTAACTAAATTCCTGTTAACTAAAGCTTTTCTCTTCTTCATCCACCAAACCCATGCACGACCAGAATACAGCACTGTTACTGTACCATCACTTGTAATGGTCTTAGCGTGAAGTATGTCTGCCTTCTCCAGTGTCAGCTCGTCGTGCTCCTGGGCCTGATAGCTCTTGATGCACTGGACCTGGGAAATGTCTGAAACCACAAACACTCATGAGCATCAGAAATATGAATAAATACATAATATCTTTTACATTGTCCACACTGACCGTCGTCTGTGGCCTGCTCGATGTCCTCCAGAGGATCTGAGGGGAACATGGCGGTGATCCAGCGCTGCTTCCCGCTCCTATGAACACACAGTGGTTAGACCATTGACTCTATAAAGAAGTGGACTAAGGGAGTGTGACGACATCCATACTGTTTGACTCAGATGAAGCTCACGAGGCTAGTGGTTATAGGAGGTATTTAGAGCCAAGTTCCATATTAGGATAAGGAATTCATTAACGGACAAAATAGCGAAATAAAACACCGGGATCATGTAGAGCGAGTCAGAGTCCTGCACTGGGTGTAGTCCTGGTGTAGTCCTGATGATTGGCTCTGTGGTTTGTGGCGTGTATACATTTATAATCCGCTAATGACACTGCGTAGGTTCAGCCCTGGTTTAGTCCTGGACTACTGGGCTGTCAGATTGGCTGACGCAGATTTATCATGGGCACGGGCGGGTAACAAGTGGAATGTTAATGGGTGTTAATGGCGGGTGCGGATCTAACGTTGATATAATCACGAGTTAATGGGCGAGTGTGGTGTTGTACTGCGCAGGTGCGAATGGCTACGGGTCTCAAAAAATGAACCCATGCAGGATTCTGGACTGAGTTAAAACAAACATTTTAAGACCAAAATGATGAGGCTCACTGCAGCAGTTACAGGGAGGGGTGACAATTTTTCAATGTAAAGTCAATTGGAGGCAGAGCTGATGGAGCTAGAAGCTCTCCCATGCTCACTTCTTATATAGAATGCAGCGGCATGCAGGTTAGCGCTCTGCATTTATATATACAGTCTATGGATTAGACTGAGCACACTTTGAACATGTGTGTGTGTGTGTGTGTGTGTGTGTGTGTGTGTGTGTGTGTGTGTGTGTGTGTGTGCATAGGGGTGTGTGTGTGTGTGTGTGTGTGTGTGTGTGTGTGTGTGTGTGTGTGTGTGTGTGTGTGTGTGTGTGTGTGTGTGTGTGTGTGTGTGTGTGTGTGTGTGTGTGTGTGTGTGTGTGCGTGCGTGTGTGTGTGTGTGTGGAGATGCTGGTTTCCTCACTCGGTGTGGGCTTTGAGCAGGATCTGGTGTTTGAGCTGTTGGCCCTCACACAGCTGCAGGTGGAAGATGAACCCAGAGACGCCCTGCAGCTTCAGGCTCAGGTCCTTCACCTTCAGCTCTCCGATCTTCGCGTGCACAAACACCATGAACTTCCACGTGCTGCAACAAAACACCAGTATTATAAACAAACGCAAAGACAACATTTTACTACACTAATAACAAGAACACGCAGGTTTGCTCGTAACTTTTTTGTTAGGGGCGTTGTCACCTCCTTGTTTCTATGGCTGTCATTGCTCTAATCCAATAAGGTTCATTTGGTCTTCTGATAATTTATGTTATTAGGTTTTTTCAGACCAAGATTTAGTTTTCAACGAAAACCTGTATAAATCAGCTGACTGGACACGTCACAGCAATATCAAGTGGCCACTCTGAGGAAGACCGCTGTGAGCAGTCGAAGCTGTCAGGTATGAAAACAAACTCCTGGTCTGAAAAAAGAACCTAATAACATATATCATTGCTATGTCATTGCTTGGAATGTTCCACAGTATGACATTAAACAGCTCTACCTTTTACATTTATTCAATTACAGGTGGTTTTATAGCTCAACTATACCTATAAAAACAGAAAGGCATTCAGACTGTGAGTAGGGTTGCCTCTCCACAGATCTGGCCTGTAACTTGGTCTGTTTTTTCTGCATGAAGATATAAAGGTTTAATGTCACACTGTGGAAGATTCCAGACAAAGCAAGAACAGCTCCACGGACATTTGACGGATCCTTTATGAGAAAAATTACACAATGCACCTTTAAACTACTCAAAAGTGCACAGGGTTCATTTTGAACTCAAACAATAACCCCAAATGACCTAGCTAGTGCAAAAAACAAAACAAAAACAAAAACCTTCCCATAAAGCATTGCAAGTCTGTAGATCGTCACATTATTATAGACTATTATAACTCTTGTAAACAGTGGCTTATGGTGGTTCAGTAGTTCTTTTGGTCAATATTGTTGTATTTTTGTATTATTGAGCATATTTACTTTAAAAAAATAAAAAATAAATAAAAACAGTAAACACAATGAACAACCCCATCAAATAAAAAAAGTATGTATTATATATAGGAATGTAACAATAACGAAATATCGTAATTTCGGATCGTCAAAAGTCTCACAATAATATCGAGGGCTGTCACAATATATCGAATTACAAGTTCCTTTGCTTAAATGTGTGGTTTTATAGTAGCAACAGCTTATAAACATATTCATTTCAGTACAAACAATATGAAGAAATATGTTTTTTACTTGAATTCTTGGGATTATGTCGGTAATACTGTAATTCACACCGAAATCTTTTCAAGGTATTTTAAAAGCAAAACAGAGTCCTACCTACAATTATATTAGCCCCTCCAAAATATTGCAGTAAATATCGTACTGTGAGATGCAAATCGTGATAATATTGTGCTGAGATTTGGATATCGTTACATCCCTAATTATATTTCTAATATATAAGTATACAAATTTAAACACACAAATATACTACACATACACGGTTGCCTTGATCAGAATATAGTAAAAAAAAGTAATGGAAAAGAAAAAGAAAACAATAAATTAATCAATCACTTAACCAATCAAAAATAATAATAACTTTAGTTATCCGCAGCAATGGACTTTAGGTTGTGGTGGTTCAGTTGTAATGTTAATAATTATGCAGAACAGTTAAATGGTGCAGACTCAGAGCGGTATGTGAACAGCCCCTGTCAGAACATGTCAGAATCATTCTGTGGTCCAAGGTCAAAAATGTTGAGTCATCAAACTGTCACAGATCGTGCTCAAAACAGTGTTTGTGCAGAAAGCTGCTGTTTAGACCCCTGTAATATCATGTTTTAGACAGCGGCTGGTGACGGAGCTGCTTGTTCAGTTCATTTGCCGTCAATTAGCCAGTGCTGCACATGCTGCCTCATACAAAACAAACACACGGGATAATACAGTGTGTAAGCAAACCAAACCAACTGTATGCTGGATTAAACTTATTTATAGAGACATTTCTTCTCGTATTGGCAGGCACTTGTGTTTCAGATGTTCCCTGACAAGTCAAGAATGATATCTGTATTTTGGAGATCCCAGGCAATAAATCTCTATCTAATCTAAAATATGTCTGACTGATTCCCATCTTGACTAATTTGGCTTGTCATAAACTGGGAAGATATCAGTCACTGTTTTATAAGCTATAGAGTGGTTTATATGTAGCTCTGTGTATGTGTTGAGTGGGGCGTGGGAGGGTTTTGTTGTTTTGTTTTTGTTTTGTTTGTTTATTTTTGTTTTCGTTATGTATAATCTTAAAATTTAAACAAAGAACATGTCTGACTGTAGAGCTCACCTTTTTCTACATATTGATTGATTGTTATTTTTAATTTAACTTTGTCTTAATAAAAACAAAAAAGGGGGTTTTCAATAGAGTCAAAGTTCTTCTTAAGTCTGAACTCTGCTCCAAACCACACACTTTTACTGACAGAGGATTAGCTGTAGACTTGACTAAAGAGATCTGATTATTAATGATCAGAAATGCCTGTCTGACTCTGAAGTGAATGACATGTAACAGAGGGTGTAAATGTGTGTGTGTGTGTGCTCCTCACTCTTTGCGTCGTGACAGGAGCAGGCAGTCGTTGAACAGGTGCAGATACACTGGTTTTGTCGGCAGTTTGAGTTTGGACCCAGAGATCGTCATCATCTGAGTGTCCACCTCCAGCAGCTCCCCGTGTTTGACCAGCCACCGAGACTGAGAGATCAGAGGAAAGATCTGAAACAAAACAACATCATAAAGTCTGAGTTAAAGAGATTTTTTATCACAAAAAAGCTGGAATAAAATGCTGCTTTTAAATTTTATATTATAATGTTGTTTCCTTATCAAAAACATACCTGGAATTGTGTTTTGCTTCATTCACATTTAACACAAAAAACCTGCAAATTTAAGCTCTTTAACAACTTCACTAGTATCATTTGGATAATTTAAAAAGTAGCTGTTAACTTTAAAATTACCAATACGTGGCATCATACTGCATTTTGAGCTTTGAAGATGTAGCCAGGCTAATACAGTAAAGGATTACTCAAACGTGTGAATAAAACAAAACACAACTCTTAATATGTTTTTGAGACGATAACAATGTTCTAACATGACTTAAAGCTCACAATTATGCATAATAATTGTTTTAATGATGGTTATTCTTAGTGACAAAAACATTGGACAGTTTTTTTCTCAAGACAAGCCTCACATTAGTCTCTTATTTAGAATTGCCAGTTCCAATGATTAAATCCAGTTGGTTTAAATCTAAAAAAACAAAAACAACAAAAAAAACCAACCCTAAAACCTAAAGGCACCTACAGCCTGTCATGAATCAGTGCTAGTGCAGCTCATGCAGCTCAAGGAGGGAACTCTGGAGGATCTGAGATTTCACATGAGGCCTGTCCATACTCAGAGAATGAGAAAAACAGGTATTGATACTTTGCAGCTGATCATCAACACTTCTTGGGCGTGTAACTGAAAGCACTACTCTGTCTGAAGCTCTGTTACTCAAATTAGACATTAATCTGAGCTTTAGTTTAACACAATTTAACCATAAAGCGCTGACTTGATTGGAACTACAACAGGTGAGATGATAGCCGACTGTTTTTTCAGTTAGTCACTCTCGACTTCTTGTTGAAAATATAAACCCTAAACATGACCATGAACGCTTGTATTAATCTCAGGCTCCTGAAAATATGTTGTTTAAATCCATTGTGTATTTTTTCTTGAGTTGTCAGATGATCTTAACACGTTTTGTCTGTGTTTGCTGTATGTTTTGTGTCACCATGGAAACTGCTGAAAATTCTGCCAATAGAAATGCATGATACAGAACACCTCCAGCATTTTTTATTCCGTAAAGCAATTTTAATTACTTTGTGTACAAATTGTGCTGTACAAATAAACTTGCCTTGCCTTGTCTTTTATTTATTGTGAAAGTCGCCTCAGCAACTATTTTTTGACCGTGAGATCAATAAAGCTGAGACTATTATGAGTAATTTTATGTCAATCAGTATTTTCAAAGAGTATTTTTGTGTCAATCAAATGGTAATGTACCTTGTCTGGGCTAGACACATTTTTGGCACATAACATAAAAAGAGTGTGCTCTCATTAGCTTAGTCATCACATCTGGCAACACAACTAGGACTGTCACGATAATGACTATATTTACAACATATTTTGAAGCTCAATATTTATCACGTGTATATTTTCATTATAAAAGTGAATCGATTTTTGTTTTTTGTTATAATATGATAATGACTGAGCTGTAAAATTTTAAATAAGTGATTTCTATATATATAAATATTCATTCAATCTGTTATTTATTTGTTGCAACTCATGTTCTTTAATGATACTGTCTATTTAAAAATGTTTCACTGGGATTATCTGATGTTATTGTTATTGTTTCAGAGGTGTAAAGCAGTTCAAATATTTTTGTTTATCCCAGTATATCTCAGAATTTGCTTAAACATAAGTCGTAGTCAGAGCAGTCACCTTGCCCTCAAAGTGGATCTTCTTGTTGAGATGGATGAGCTCCTCCATCCTCTTCATGGACTGAACACTGGAGTTACATTCTTTGATGATCTGGGGAGAGACGCACAGTTATTTTGGCCCACATAGCCTTCTGTACCGGTGTTCTATTAATATATACTCCCACATCGAGTTTTGCTCCCTCTTGTGTGTTTCTATGGGTAAGACAAATTATGTATCCCTTCTTGAAAAGCACTATTTTGTGTTAATGTTTCACAAATGAACAACTAAAGAACATTTTATCTTATGACTCATGATTATTAAAGGGGCACAGTGTAAGTTTTCTGGTAAAGAGCCCACTAGTTTCTCGCCTCCATGGAGATGTTATGGCTCTACCTGCAATGTTCCAAGTGTTAAACTTTTCCAAAGTATTTAAGTTATCAATCTCCATACAGACAAGCAGGAGCTGCCACCAGGCCAAGTTACAGGTAAGATCTGTGAAGAGGTGACCCCACTCCCAGTAAGAATGCATGCTTTTAATGATATTTTAGAGAAATAAAAACACCCATAATCAATGTTGTACCTGGTCCTGTTCATATTTTGGGAGAACATGAACTGAATGTACTGTATTACTGCCTGATGAACAAATTGTGAACGTGTTCATTCTTTAGTCTGTGAACAACTTCTTCTGCTTCTATTTAACTTTGTTAAATAGTGTGCCAGATTTCTTTAGTATTCCAGGGAAAAACCCAGCTAAACACATTGTAAAAAGCCCCTAATGTTTAGTGGAAAAAAATTCAATCTGACAACAACACGAGCCACCAGCATGGCATCGCCACATGCGTTATCGAAACAAGACAAAACAAAAAAGCAGCACGGAGGCGACTGTAGCAGAAGTAAGACGGATTCATCATATGAACATTTACAAGAGCTCTATGACAAAGTCGGTGAGGAGGGCGAAGGGAATAACCTCATATTTATGTGCAAACTTTGCCCGCCGACTTTCAATAAGAAAATCCGCACTTCAGTCACAGCAACAGTAAACTTAAAACGATGGGCTTTGGCAATGATATTGAAAAATGTTAGCTTGCAGCAACCTATTGAAAAAACAAACAAACTATGAACTACTGAACTTTGAACTAGGTCATGCAGAAAATGAACTTTCTCAACACAGCCCATAACTGAATAAATGCATCAACATTGCATTACATTACAGGTAAAGCAATAGCATCTCCATGGTTGAGGATCCCCAACATGAAAAGTAATGCAGTGTACCTTTAAGCATAGGCCTATTTTAATTTACATTATGAATCTTAATAATGTTTAGAACAGACTGAGGTAGAATTGCTGTTGATCTGTTATAATAATATCATGGCAACATTACTTTGCTACATTTACTTTTTTATTAGGCTAACACAAAAAAAATAGTGTATTTCCACTAGAAAATGTCAATGTCATGAATTAAAGAAGCATTGTGTAACTTTTGTGGTGGAGTGTCCATCACCTGCTTGTTTTTATGGATATGTCACTGCTCTGCCTAGAATGTTCCACAGTATGACATTAAACAGAACAGAACAGACAGGTGGATTTAAAGCTCATAAATACCTAAAAACAGGCATTCTGACTGTGAGCGGGGTCGCCTCTCCATAGATCTGACCTGTAACTTGGCCTGGGGTTGTCTCCATGATGGTAGAAAGGTTTAATACCCTACTGTGAAACATTCCAGACAAAGCAACAACGTCTCCATGAAGAAAAGCATTTGATGGAAAAAGAAAGTTACACAATGCACCTTTAAAACATGACAAAGTCGACGCAGAAATATGAATAATTCTGTGGTAAAATGACTGTATTTTTTTTAATTTGTGGATAAGAAACAACACTTAACTAAGAGTTTTCTTCGCTTCATGCTCTGAACTCAGATCTCAATGAAGGGATTATACAGTATCAACGAGATAATAACTACCTTTTTGAGCTCATTGAATGCTTTTGTGGCTGTGTCCTCGTCACGTGAGCCTGGAGCTGTCCTCTTTAAGATGTTCTGCAATAAACACGTGGCACAGTGTAAAGACATCACTGTTTTAGTTTGTTTCATTGTAGGTTGGGTTAATAGCTGGAGTTTAAAACACTCATATTACGCTATTTTCTGATCTATGTTATTATGTTGTTTCCTCTTCACAAACATTCCTGGAGTTGTGTTTTGTTTCAGTCACACATGTTTAACACACAAAGCTTCCATATTTAGGCTGAGTTCTTCTCTCAAACAGAAAACACTGTTCCACCTTGTGATGTCATGTGGTAATACAGGAAGTGCTCCACTGTGTTTTAAACACCATCATTTCCACTAGAATCATGATGGATGATTTCAGCCCTGGATTTGCCAATCTATGCAGGATTCCCACAGTCATGGAAATCCTAAAAAAAGTCATGGAAATTCAATGAAAGTTTTGGAAAAGTCAAGTTTTAATATCTCTTTCATGCAACTACAAGTTTTCATTAGGCTATTATGATTATTTCCAAATGTTTGCACCTTTTGTTTAAAAGAGACAACAATAAATGCACTGACAGTATTTTGAATGTTAAAAAACTATAATACCAAACCATAAGGTGAGTGAAAAGGGTTAACATTTCATATTTAGCCCTAATGATCAATTCTACACATGTAGGTCCTGTAAAGTCATGGAAAATTCACTTTAGGTCATGAAAAATGGAAAAGTTTTGAAATTTTGTCAGTGAAAAAGAGTGGAAACCCTGTATACTAAACAAAAGGTAAAATGTGTTAACTGGAAAACTACTGCTTCATGACATCACAAGGTGTAATAGGGCATTTTGATCTTTGAAGATGTAGACAGCGATATAATCCAGGATTACTTAAACATGTGTAAATGAAACAAACACAACTTCAGGTATGTTTTTGATGAGGTAACAACATTAAAACACAGCTTATCCCAAGAGTCCATTTTGCGTAATACAGATCCTTTAATAGCGTACCTCCACTAGCATTTTGAGCCGTGTGATCCTCTGGAAGGGCAGGATGAGGAAGGAGGTGAGGGGCAGTCTTTGGCAAACAGGATCCTCCTCCAGTCGGGACAAGATACTGGGAAAGCGGGGGTTTTCCTGTCTGTGGGATAAATGGGCAGAGTGACTGGGATGGTGAGGATTTTGAGTCAGAATTCCAGTGTTGTATCCGAGCACAGATGTGGGCTCACAAAATGCTGTGGGATTACTAAGGGAAAGGCACAGCAGGTTGAGTCATGTCCATACTAACACTTGAGCTCTGAGAAAAGGGACACAGCACAGAGAAAGGAGCGCTACACATACAATATCAGTGGAGTGAACAGATACCCATGTGTCCTTTATTGTCATTGTATGTCAACAGTTTTTACCATAAACAGTATAAAGAAGTGGACTAAGGGAATGTGACGTCACCTATATAGATGAGGTTGTGCAATTAATCAGACTGTGATCGTGATTTTGATTTGTGTGAAAACGTTGAAAGTTGAAACGATTTAAAGCTTATCAAAATTTATTATGGGATGTTTTTTTTTATATAAATGTGTGTATTTATTTTATTTTTTACATAAAGAGATATAGAACAGCTGGATATATAGTTTATTTTGGATACATTTATGTTTTTCTATGCCTTATTTCATGTTCAAAGTATATTTTATTCATTTTATGCTTTATATAAGGTTCATATTTGTCCGTCTGAATTTATTTTCAAATTTAAAGTTTTGCGTAAATGATCAGTAACAAAGTGTTTTGTTTTTTTTGAAAGAGAGAAATGCTGAATAAATTCATTGTGTAACTAAAAAATAATCGTTTGAATAATCTTGATTATCTTCTTGTTTTTTTACATAACTGAGCAGCCCCAGCTCACAAGGCTTTATAAGAGCGAATTTGGAGCTGACTTTCATATTTGGAATTTATTTATGGCCAAAGTAGGGAAATAAAAACACCAGGATCATGTAGAGCGGAATAATAAAAACATTTTTAGGCCAAAATGACAAGGCTTGATGCAGCAGTTACAGAGAGAGGGGGGATAATTTTTCAATGTAAAGTGAATTGGAGCCAGAGTTGATGGAGCCGGAAGCTCCATCAACTCTGAATTTTTTGGGAAGCAGTGCAATGCTGTTTTTAAGTTGTTGTTTTTTTAGATTCAGGATTCTGTTAAGAAAACTTGCTAAGGACATTCATTTTCGTGAGAAGATTAAAATACGAACTTTCTCAGAACATGTTTCTAAAGCTCAAACTACAGGGTTAGCTTTGTACATAATAAGAAGAGATTTTTTTGTCTTTTGCAAATTGTGACTGATTAAATCTTAAACCTGAAACTTCATACATACAGCCTTAAAGGTGCATTGTGTAACTTTTCTGCTGAAGGGTCAAATGCTTTTCTTCTCTCTTAATATTTCACAGTATGGTATTAAAACTGTCTATCTTCATGAAGACCAAACTGAACCAAGTTACTGGTCTGGTTTTCTGGGTATTTTTGAACTATAAAACCACCTGTAATTTCATAAATGTAAGGTAGAGCTGTTTAATGTCCCACTGTGGAATATTCCAGGCAGAGCAATTTCCATAGAAACAAGAAGGTGATGGACCCCAAACAAAATTACATAGTGCACCTTTAATTTCAGACTCCATTTAAGTAGAGATACAATGACATAATAAATCATGTTGACAATAGTAAACAAGAACTACTCACAGTAGGCGCTGGTAGGTCTGTTCCTGGTAGGCCTGATTGGTCACGTAGGGCAGGTACACCCTCCTCAGAGCAGCACAGTGGTTCAGAACAATATCACATACATCAAAGCGCAGGATGTCCTCCTCCAGACGCTGCTCCAGGTCCTGCAGAAACCTACAGCCAAACACAGACAGTTAGAGACAGACAAAGGACAGACACAGTTAACGATCCTATATCATGCAAAATTGACTCTTGTAAACTTTATGACATGTTATTATGTTGTTGCCTTCTCAAAAATATACCTGGAGTACATCTCCAAAACTCACAATGCTCTGTTCCACATTGTGATGCCATGAAGTGGTCATTTTCAAGTCAACAGCTTTACCTTTAGTTCTGTAGAGATTGGCAAGTCCAGGGCTGAAATTATCCAAATGATTCTCGTGAAGGTGTGTGGAGTTTAAAAACACATTGGAGCACTTTCTGTATTACCACATGACATCACAAGGTGGAACAAATTGTTTAAAGACAGAGACCAGATAGACAGGACAGACAGGTGTGGGAGGATCAGAGTGATCTCTCACCTTTCACTGACGTCTTTGACCTCTGGCAGTTTGGAGAAGAGCCACTGTTTGTCCTGAGCGCCCAGGCACTCTGCCAGGTCATGAGACAGCATGAAGTGGTCCACAGCGATGGTCAGGCTGCGGATGTAAGAGGCCTCAGAGGACACCAGCTCAAACTTGGCCTGAGAACAAAACACAGTATTAGATTAGTGCAGACTGTCCAGGGGGTCTGCTCTTTCACAGTCTATTCCAGTAAAGGAGGAGTGATATGTTCACTAGGGCAATAATAAATGAACAACCACAAAGCTATAAGGAAATCATTAATCCCACACATACAAGTTTAACACAGAGAACGGTTTCTCCCTCGTGTGGGTGCGCTTTGTGTTTATATTAACAAAGAGTGTGTCTCACTGTGGGCCTCAATATTTTCCCTCATCTTCAAATTTTTTGATGGTTTCACAACCCTTTCTCTTTGAAGCCAGTCACCTCTTGCAGTTTCCTCTCTTCGTTACTAAAGTTGTCGAGCTGACCACTGGAGCGTACATCAGGGATGTCCTGCCACAGAGCGAAAGCTGATCCTCGAGAGGAGCGGAAGGAGCTGGAGGGGGAGAGGTTTGAGGGGGAGGGGGTCCCATCTGAGCTCTCCTCCTCTGTGCCAGGCTCCTTCCCCTGCTGCCTCTGGATCTCTCTGTTGATGGCCACATCACTGTATTCCTGGTACAGGATGGCTGTAGCAGAGGAGAAAACACACTCAGTAACTGCATATTTAAACATTTAACTGTGTCAAACCTGTGGACTGGTGAGTGGCACTTACAGCTGGGCAGAAAGCGTGACAGGCGATTGGAGCTGCTGAAAGCAGGAAGTGCACTCATGTCTTCTTCTATGGATCTTTTCCTCATTCTGAAATGGCATGAACATTTACAGTTTGGATGGGGTAATAATATTCTAACAAATAATTTGAAGTCTTTTTACACAGTTTTTACACACATAACATTGTTCTAAAAGTTTACCCCAGTTTAGTGCTCCATCGCTGCAGTCCATTCTCACAGATGGGCTGAGGTGGAGTTGATCCTACAGGACTGTGGGGGGCGCTGTCACTGGAGCACCCTGAGCTGCGACGAGAGCTCAACTTGACTAAGAAAGGGAAAAATAACAGATATCAACATGTAAATTGGCACATTTTACAATAACTTAAATCATTTATTATTATTAGTGCTAGGAGAGTACTTTCTGGATGTATGTTAATGCATGTTCACTAGGCCATCAGGAAAGGCCTTCAATGTAAGGCAGTTAAATCACAGATACAGTAACAGTTGAAAGCATTTCTTTACTATGACAGCAGTAAATGATTAGAGCAGTATATGTGCGTGACTCACGCTCCATGTTGGAGCTGAGGCCTGAGCTCTGTCTGTCTCTGGAAGAGACTCTCGCTGACAGAGACTTGCCCAGCTTCAGGGTGAAGGAGTTCTTCCTCTGGGACAACTGCAGCCGTGAGATCAGCTCTGACGCAGAGAAACGTCGCCGTTCTTCCCCTCTGCGAGACAGAGAGCTGCCCCCGGTGGCTATGGACAGTTCTACACTGTTCTCCTCCGGGAGCCCTGGGATGGGGTCTTCTGTAATGTGCAGAGGCTCCTCGGGCAAGTGGTAAATGTCCTCATGGCTGAGACTGGGCAGGTCTGTTCCACTGTCACAGGATGAGGGGCTGAGGGTCTCTAGAGAGGACAGGCTCAGGTCCTCCTCCAGGAATGAGGCTAGTGGTCCGGGGAACAGGAAGTCAGGATCCAGGAGGGGGCTGCTCACACATTCATCTGTGGGGCTCTCTGGAGAATACACTTGCATCTTCCTCCCTACAAGCACACAGACATTCAGCACTTATAATAACACCTGCGTTTGTTATTCATATGTGTATTAGCACATACAGAGCTATTTGTTCAGAAAATGAGGCAAATAACCCATTACAGCATGTTTTGTAAACATGTAAAAGAGTAAAAGTAAAAGTACTACAAAGAGACTTACGCATGGACTTCTCCTTGAGTGACCCCTGTGATGTTCTCCTCACTGGGGTACTGGGCTCTGGACCTTCAGGGGAGGAGGGGCCCGGAGAGTCCCAGAAGTTTGAGTAGATGGAGGACAGGGGCAAAGACAGGGGCAGGCTGAGGGCAGCATGGAGGGGCCTACACACAGTGGTGACGGTCCGGGGTGGGTCTGGGTGCTCTGGGACAGGGTACAGGTGAGGGACAGGGGGTTGCTCTTCTTCCTCACACAGAGGCTCAGGGGGTGTATCAGAGCCGAGCTCCTCTTTGTCAATGTGAGAAGGAGGAACAGTTTGTTCAGGGTTAGTCCTATAGTGTCCATTTCTCCACTCCTTCAGTCCATTCACAGAGTGTTTAAACCCATTCAATGTCCTGGGGGGGCTCACTTCACTCACTTTGGGCATAAGAGTGGGCTGGAGCTCAATAAATGCCAGTGTTTCCTGCTGGCACACGGCCACATGTTTATGATGGCAGGAGCGGAGCAGGGGTCTGTCCTCCTGCCCCTCGCTCAGGCTCTGGGGGTCTCCTGAACCAGGAATCCACATCCTGGGACTGTCTCTGCAGCCAAAGACCTGGAGGTGAGGCTGGAAGTCAGGGAGGGGGGAGAGTCCATACCCCGGGAGCATGACGCCAAGGGACCATGGAAACTAAAGACAAGAAAATAACATAAAGTAAATAGATTCAGTTTGTTTATGAAGTCAAAACAACAGTAAACTGAGACAACATTGGAGACAGTGCAGCCTGAGGATGTATTACATTAAAGGGAACCTATTATACAAAATAGACTTTTGAGAACTTTACACCATGCGCTTCCTATTGGTCCCCTTCTCAATTACCCTCTTGAAATAGTATTTAGTGTGATTCATGCAGCTTGAGGAATCTTTATTCTCCTGTATTCAAGACCTCATTGTTTCACTCAACCCCCATTTTCACCATCAGTGGGAAACGCCCACAGCTCTGTACTCACTTCCTTGTCCAATTTTATTTTCTTAATCAGTGATATGTGTAGGATTCTGAAGCTTCATGAAAAAAAAAAAAGACTGCAGCTACCCATAGATGAAAATTAAAAATGTGTATATGAAGTGAACATTTAAAATGTGCAAATTATAACATAATGATGCAGGTAGAACTGTTATAATTATATACCAGACACAATGTGTTTCCTATAATCACCACAGTCCACATAAAAAAAAAGAAAGAGAAATAAGGTTGCCCTGTCTAACCCAGTTCGTAGCTTCAGAAAGTATAATAGTTCAAATACCAGAGGAAAACACTGCTTATAACACTGCTTGTGCTGCTCCCAAACAACGTAGAGGCACCCATTAACAGTGAGCATGTAACCTTCACACAAAGCCCCTTTTCAAAAGCCACTGAAGCATTTTTATTGTACAATTTTATAGAGGAACCAAACCTTGAAGAGAATCACATCCCTGAAAGAAAAGTAGTATGTTCGTCTAAAGTTTCTAATGCTGCACTTATCCTGCAATCAAATATGGCTGACTGAACACAGCTCCCAACCTGGCTCAGTGTCACCGAGAGATTCCACCAGCGCGACCAACTGTTACACACCAGCTACGAGAATATTTTAGTATCTATCCATGTCTACTGCTGAACTGCCATGTCTAAAACATGACAGATTAGATAATAATTTTTAGGGGTCTGTGTTTATCATGCGTGCTTTTTCTTTGTACTAGTTGGAGAAGTTTGGTTATTTTTCAGTTTTAGGATGAGATTTAAACTGTAAAAATTTGATGTTTATGAACTTCTATGACTCATTATCAGTGGTGGAACAAGTACTATGTACCGTGTGGCATGTCAAAGCCTGATCCTGTCAGATCTCAGAAGCTCAGCATGGCTGGGCCTGGTTAGTACTTGAATGGGAGACCACTGGGAAACTCAGGTGCCACTGTCGTTGTGTCCTTAGGCAAGACACTTCACCCACATTGCCAAGTATGAAAGTGGAGAGTGCGTGAGTGATGTTGGTCAGAGGCGCCGATGACGCAGATCGACAGCCTCTCTTCCATCAGTCTGCTCAAGAGCAGCTGTGGCTGCAGTAGGAGCTTACCACCATTGAGTGTGGATTGAATGAATAATGCACTGTAAAGCGTCTTTTGAGTGTCCAAATTGTGTGTGTATATATATATATATATATATATATATATATATATATATATATAAAACTGATCTATTATTATTATTACTTAGTTATTTAAGTAAAAGTACAACTACTATAACTGTGAGGTGAGTCTAAACCACTGTTCACTCTAGAAATGCACCAATCCAGCTTTATCAGTTCCGATACTGATTCCGATACTATAGTTTTAAGTAAGTTGCTGATACAAGAACAGAGACCGAAAAGAAGCATTTCCTTAAAACAACTAACCAGCCCAAGCTGATCCAAATGAGTTATATAGCTATTATTTATCCCACAAGTAAGACACCACAAGACTTTCTGGGCGACTATGACCAGTGAACAGTCTAGTATATGTCCAACCAGGATATCGACTGTACCAATATTTGGTTATCTGATATCTGATCCAGCAAATTTTTCATTACATGTGCCGATATACTCTATACGATATAATAATAATATAGCAATGTACACTAGATTATAGACTCTATAGATAAAAAGGACTATAGAGAGCAGTGATATTATACAGGATGTAGTGGTGGTCCGGTCAAACGTAAAGACAACTCCTTCTGGTGCAGTGTGTTTTCCTGCTATAATGAAAGAGCACAGCGTATGGACCCCTGTATTTAACATCTTCCATAGAAGAGACAGGATACCACAATACACACACAAACCCAAATATAGTCAGGACAGCACAGATCCAGAGAAAGGGGGGTACCACTCTCACCTGTAACCCACCACTAACCCATCCATCATGAGCTGTCAGGGTTAGCCAGCGTGAATGGTTGCATATTATCAGTGACTTGGGCCCATAAAGTAGTACTACACACATTGTTTAAACAGGACTCCTGCTTCCTGAACAGGTAATCCTTAACTGGCCTTTAAACACCAGCTCACAGTAAAGAGTAACAGGCGGCGTATTCAAAGAGGTGCCTCATCTGATTTCATGGAGTAATAGATTACAGACAAAGCCAAAGTGTAATGTAAAGTCTGCATTAAGTAAAACATTTTAAAGAATGTTCTGTATGTGAAATTAATTACTATAATTATGATAAGTAAACAGCCTGTACATTCACTTCATATTAGGGCAGGGCAATTACTAAACATTAATTAAGATTGGGATTCTGTCATGTCTAATCTTCAATGATAAGGGCTGGGTTTTTTTATTGACTAGTGTACATGCAGTCCTCTGTCAGTAAACATTCATACCATACTCCATACAGAGCTACAACTCACCTTTATGCAACAGATAACCCTTTGTGCTGTCAATCATCATATCACTGTTGCACTTCTGTCTTCCTATGACCTCTCGTACAAAGCTTATTTACTACTTCTTATTTTTCTGTTTTATTTTGACTTGTACATATACATTTATATAATTATGCCTTATTTGACACCTGTCTCTTGCTGTCTTTTTTCTACTTATTTAGAATTTATTATTATCATTTATATTTTTTACAGTTATTACAGTTGTTACTATATTATATTGTGATGTGTGAGCTACTGTGTCCAAATAATTTCCCCTGTGGATCAGTAAAGTTTGTCTAAGTCCAAGTCTAAAAGCAGTTCAGAGTACAGAATTTGGAAGAAGACATTTGACTGTTTCTTTGTGTGAAATTGCAAAAAAGGCTTGTTTATTAGAGCCCGACCGATATGGATTTTGTTGTAGCCGATATGAAACCGATATAATGGGAGTTGGAGCGGCCGATAGCCAATATAATCGCCGATATATTTAGTGATGTAAAAATTCATTGTAAATCTTGAATTGTATAAAAAACTTAGGTTTGGCTCTACTGGATTCTAAATTGGGTTTATTTAAGCAACATTTATAGTTCTTCTGCCTCTTTGTGTCATATTTACAGACAGTAGATCACATTCTAGCTACTAGTGATGGGTAGCAGGACTAAAGCAGGTCTAAACCAGGACTGAAAAAGGACTAAACCAGGACTAAAACAGAGCTAAACCATGTGTAAAACAGGACTAAACCAGAACTGAACCAGGAGTGTCGGGACTTGGTCTCTATCTCTCTCCATCTCTCGAGCCCAAGATTAGTCCTGGTTTATTCATTTTATGCTGAACTACAGCCAAATATGCACGTTTTTTCTCTCCTATGCACACGCAGATTTCTGAAAGATTAGTTTTGAGCCGCTGCTGCTGTCAAACTACCAAGAGTCTGCACGCAGTCTCAGCGCTCACACAGGCTCCTCCTCACATCACAAGTCTGCACTAATAAATGTCCTTTTAATTCAGACTCAAACCGATTGTCCGTAAAAAGAAAATAATCTCAGTGTTGCGCACGGCTGTGGGTGTAAACAAACACACGTGAGTGAAGTGACGTGACTCTGTGGTGTGTTCAGGGACAGTACTGACACAGACACAGACAAATGACTCCGTAGATATATACTGATGTGGAGCCACATATTAAGACATTTATCTGTCTGTAAATTGGATTAAATGAACATAATGTAGAGAGTCTAAGATTTATAATGACGTATAACATGCCCACGTGAAATATCGGCCCATATCAGCAAGCATATCGGCCAATAGCCGATATATCTCCAGGAGCCAATCTCAGCCGATAATATCGTCCAACCGATATATCGGTCGGGCTCTATTGTTTATGTTCATTAAATTAATACTGAAGGCCATTTGAAAAAATTGTGGAAAAACTAAAATTCTAAAAACTTAGTTATTTTAGTTAAAAATAACTAAATATGTAATTGAACCGCAGCTCATTGACCAAATCTCAGTTTCAGTTTTTAAGGATTTAGAATAACGGTGAGTTAAGATGTGAGTTTCTAAATCATAGGTCAAAAAGACAAGATTGTTATTTTTAATGTTGAGCAGATTTCTCTATCTTGATAATGAATTGAGTTGCCTGGGATCCAGAATACACATTTTTTCAAGACTTTTTCAAATACGTGTGATTGACAGATGGATTAGCCAATTAGGCACATGCATGATCAGAAAATATCACAGGAGCTGATTTCAGCAAAATCACTGAGTGAAGCACTAAACTCCATTATTCTGAGGTATATAAATAGATAAATTTCATTTCATTTGTAAATGACAGGTGACCAGTGAGCTGTCACGTGTCACTGAAAAAAAAGAATCTGATTGGACAATCATGTTTGGATCGGCTTGAGACACAGCCGAGGGCGTCAGGACCAGGCTGACATCCATCTGTTTAAAGAAATACAGAGAGAGATCATTCTGGATTTACCAGGCATGCAGGTGAGTATAATACTAGCTCATTGTAACCTAATGCAGGGGCACAGTGTACCTTGTTTGCCCACAGAGTCTCACGTGGTGGAGGTGTTAAATGTTAACATGCTATCTCTTTATCTGTTTGCTCAAAAGCACATGTACAGCGGTTGTCTTGGTTACGCAGTAATGATACCCTCTGGAGGTGATTAATTTCAGAGCTATATGACTGCGGTGCTGTAAACCTTTATGGCACACATACATTAGACAGTGTAGTACACCTGTCTCTTGTATAATGACACTACAATAAAA